GTACATTTACGTTTTCGAAGACGTTTAGTAGAAAATTTAACTCTATCACTTTTATATTTTGTTTTAGACTGGTCCTTTTTCTTTAATCAAAGTTTGAGTTAATTGTGTAGAAGCTTGAAAAGATGACTAATTTTAGCTCAATGTGTCAAATATATGGTTTTAAAATATGGCTTTAGAGATAGTGGAAAGCATTTCAAACAAAACTGCAAAAAAAATCGATACTAGATATGTTTTATTGACAGTTTTGCTGTAACTAGGGACGTTGCTAGGTAATTTTAAACTTAGGATGTTGTAAAAAAATGTCATTTATTAATTAAAAAAAAAGCGATTTTTGAATAAGATTTTCAATGTTTGATTTCTTAATAAGTTTACTTTTAAAATATTTGGAAAAAAAAATCAAAATTATTTTTGAGAGGTTTCTCCCTTAATAAACAAACTTCACATTATGCTATAAACTTATCTATTTTACTGTCAGTTTAATATTATTATCATTTTTTTTCGACACTAAGGGGAAGTGGGGGCATAACCGCCCCCGTAACGTTTGAATAAATGTTATATGAAAATAAAAACGAAATGTATTTTTTTAGCAGTTTATTTCAATAGCCGCATCATTAAGCTTTAAATCAACGCATTTAAGATAAAAATTGAACGGGTTTTGAAAATGTTATTACACAAAAATTACACTTAGTGAAAAAAACGGTTTTGCCCCCATTGTGAGGCACAACCGCACCCTCACAAAAATCGTTGGGGGTTCACTGTTCTAGGTACATTTTCTTTACAATTGTCATAGCTCAGATTATTTGCTGATTTTGTTGCAGGTTTGTATACTGTGTAGGCATTCTTTGTACTTACAATCTCAGTTTTCTTATTCGATATACTCTTAGCTTTATTTTAATTCAAAAACTCATTTATAAAAATTAAATAAAAAAATACGAAATCTAATTTCTAACATTTCAAAACAAAACTTTTTTAACATCTTTTCTAACAAAAAACAGAACTTTTCTAATAAAAAACAAACTTTTCAACAAAGTTTTTTTAACAAAACTTTTCTAACAAATAAAAAAACTTTTCTAACAACTTTTTTTCAAAACAAAACTTTTCTAACATCTTTTCTAACAAAAAACAAAACTTTTTTAACAAAACTTTTCTTTCAAAACTTTTTGGACAAAACGTTTCTAACAAAAAAACTTTTCTAACATCTTTTTCTCAAAACAAAACTTTTCTAACATCTTAAACAACTTTTCTATCATCTCAAAGCAAAACTATTCAAGTTTATACATGAACGCATTCAAATGTGACGATTGTAATTGTTGTTATTTGTAATTACATAACTTTGATAAATAATAAAAGTATGCGGTTGTGCCTCCTGTGCGTCTATGCGGTTCTGTCCCAGTGGACAGTTTTTAGAAAGAATTCAGTTTCATAGCTTGCTTATTAGGTTATGTTGATATCAAAAATGGTTTTTACTTGATGAAATAACGCTGTTAACACATAGCTTTAACACTAAAATCAAATATTGCTTTATCCTCGAAAAAAAGGTCTTTAAAAATATGATGTAAATATAATATTTTTATCAAAATATAAATTATTATGCACAACTTCTCAGAAACATAGCAGGCACTCTTTTTGACATAAGAAAAATGAAGAAAACTGTTTTACTAATGTGTGGTAGTTTTTTTGCCAGATTAGATAATATTTTACAAAGAGAAATGTTAAAAAACGGTTGTGCCTCCATATGCGGTTATGCCCCCACTTCCCCTATATATTTTGATTAGTTATTTACCGAAGTATTTTGTAATAAATATATTGGTTTATTATGTAAATTTTTGTCTGTTATTATTTCTCTGTAAAGACTTCCATTTTTAAAAATTTATTTCAGAGTTTTATTATTGCAAAGTAATCTTTTTAAAATGTAAATAAATTTTACGTAACATGTCAAGAATAAAAAACATCGTGTTACTTTTAAAAATAATTATATATATATACATATATATATATATATATATATATATATATATATATATATATATATATATATATATATATATATATATATATATATATATATATATATATATATGTATATATATACATATATATGTATATATATATATATATATATATATATATATATATATATATATATATATATATATATATATGATATATATATATATATATATATATATATATATATATATATATATATATATATATATATATTCTTGCTTATATATATATATATATATATATTTATCTTTTTGCTTATAGATATATACATATATATATATATATATATATATATATATATATATATATATATATATATATATATATATATATATATATATATATATATATATGTATATATATATATATATATATATATATATATATATATATATATATATTCTTGCTTATATATATATATATATATATTTATCTTTTTGCTTATAGATATATACATATATATATATATATATATATATATATATATATATATATATATATATATACATATATATATATATATATATATATATATATATAAGCAAGAAGAAGACTAGTTTAATCTTATCACCAAGCCCCTTTAAATAAAACTGTCAATATTAAAAATACAAAGCAAAGTAATTCGTTAAATAAACATATATATATATATATATATATATATATATATATATATATATATATATATATATATATATATATATACATATATATAAAAATATGTATATATAAAAATATATATATATATATATAGATATATAAATATATATATATATATATATATATATATATATATATATATATAAATATATATATATATATATAAATATATATATATATATATATATATATATATATATATATATATATATATATATATATATATTTATATATATATATATATATATTTATATATATATATATATATTTTATATATATATATATATATATATATATATATATATATATATATATATTATAATATATTATAATACATATATATATATATATATATTATAATATATTATACTACTATTGAGTTACTTTTTAAAAACTATGTTTTTTTGTTTGTGGCTGAATCTCGCCATTCAGATATTTGATTTTTTAAACAAATTTTTCAAGTCTGTCCCAGCTAGCACACATATGTTGATAAACCCTCTAAATTAGTATTTAAATTTTTTTGATTTATCTTTTGAAGAGTTTGAAAGTGTTTTTAAATTGTTAAAGTCAAATAAAGCAGTTGGTTCAGATGATGTCAATGGGAATGTTATTATAAACTGTTTTGACGTTTTAAAAGACATACTTTTCCAAATTTTTAAATGCTCTATTAATCAGGGAGTTTTTCCTGATGATTTAAAAATAGAAAAAATTATTCCTATATTTAAAGAAGAAGAAAAAACTAATGTAAAACACTATCGTTCAATTTTTATCCTTAATCACCTTTTATCAAACAAATTATTATATAACATGCAATATGGATTTAAAAACAATAGTTCAACAGACCTATTATTCAGCTTACAAGAAGTATATAATACTCATATAACAGTTCTAAATTCACATTGGGAATATTTATTGATTTAGAGAAAGCGTTTGATACCACTGATCATAAAATTCTTTCTAAAAAATTAAACGTATTACGGTATAACAGGCAATGTTTTAAAATGGTTGAAAAGTTATTTATTTAATCGTAAACAGTTTATTTACACCAATGAAATAATTTCATTAAATTTATTAAATATTACATGTGGAGTTCCTCAAGGATCCATATTAGGACCTCTTCTTTTCCTTATTTATATAAATGATCTATACAAAGCCTCGGATTTAACAACAATTATGTTTGCTGATAACAATAATTTATTTATGTCACACAAAAGCACTCCTACTCTATTTCATTATGTGAACATAGAGTTAATCAAAATATATGACTGGTTTAAGACCAACAAATTATCTTTTAACATTAAATGGATTCTTTTCCATCCTCTCATCAAAATATAAACTGCCAATTAACATGCCTCGTCTTGTTATTGAAAGTATACAAATTAAACAAGTAACAGTAACCAACTTTCTACGTGTTTGTTTAGATGAAAATCTTACATGGAAAAATCACATTAAAAAATTATCAAGTAAAATTTCAAAAAGTATAGGAATATTGTACAAAGCAAGAAATGTTTTAAACAAACAAACTTTAGTACAACTATATCGCTCATTTATTCATTGTCACATAAACTATGGGGTAGTACAAATAAAAATAAACTTAAACCTCTTTATTGTCAGCAGAAGCATGTAGCACGTCTTATATATTTTAAAGACCGTTATACTCATGCCATGCTTTTATTATTTGAAATAAAAGTTTTTAATATATATTAGCTTAATATTTTTAATATTCTTCGTTTTTTGTTTAAATGTAAAACCAATTCATCCCCGATCTCTTTATATTTATATATATATATATATATATATATATATATATATATATATATATATATATATATATATGTATATATATATATATATATATATATATATATATATATATATATATATATATATATATATATATATATATATATATATATATATATATATATATATATGTATGTATATTTATATATATATATATATATATATATATATATATATATATATATATATATATATATATTTAAGTTCTAAAAAGTTTTTACTTGTTGATAAACACTTAAACTGACCAATTGGTTTTTGCTATAAAATTAAAACCATTAAAAATAGATTTCCCACTAAAACTTTATTTTGAATTTTTGCTATAGCATAATTACTTTTACATGTGTTGTACAAACCAACCAATCACATTAAACGGCAAACCAAGCCGATAAGAAAAGTTTTACGTTATGTTTTTTGACAATAACGAATTTTGAAAAAATTAAAGAATTATGGTTGAAATAAGTTTAAAGACGGATTCAACTGTTCATTGACATTAAATATTTTGTACTTAACATTTTATTGCATACTTTTAGGTAACGTACTTCTTCCACCAATGGGTATCTGCGAAATTGCAGAATCTTACGGAGACTCAACTCATTCTATGATAAATCACAATAAGTTTGTTTGTGAAATTAGCCCAAATATATTGTATCAATATGTACTCATCATGCTATGGTTTCTGATTGTCTTTAGCATTATTGTTAGTATTAGTGGATTGATTATTAGCTTGGTAGGACATCTTGTGACAGTAACATGTTTTTTAAATGATGGAAATCCAGCGCGTGAAATATATCAAATTTTAACATTTCGGGAATGTGAGTACTTGGAAATGATACGCCGGCGCAATATTCCACTATTCGGTGATATTGTGCGAACGTTGCTAAGCGATAGATCTGATTGCAAATGCAAAGGTACTTTTAATTTTCCTCAAGAAAAAAACTTCAACCAAGAACTGCTAAACTATGATCATCGAAAACTAGAATACCGCAGCAGAACTCAGAGTTTTGCATAATTCGCTCAAAGTTATTCTTATCCTCTTCTTTTATAATGGTATATATAGAATGGTATATGTATTGTATATATGAATGGTATATGTATTTTATATATGAATGGTATATGTACTGTATATATGAATGGTATATGTATTTTATATATGAATGGTATATGTATTGTATATATGAATGGTAATGGTGTATATAGAAATAAAATAGATAAATAAAATTAAAACACCTGACTTGTAAACGATAATACATACATATATAATACATATAATAAGATGTAGTAGAACTCTTTCCAAAAGCACCTACAAATTATAAATACAATTTCATTCTCACTTTTTATTCTATAAATTAATAATCTATTATCCTTAACGCTAAGCTTTATAAGCTTAGCTTAAAGATTTATTTAAAAGCTTAGAGTTAGGAGGTCAGATGTGGTGCGGTACTGCGACGTATTGTCGTACCAGCTAAAATGAACTATAAGAACTATTTAAAGATGTCACAATGGACTACTAATTAGTAGTAGCATTACCGTAGGTAATGCTACTACTAATTAGTACTATTAATTAGGACTACTACTAATTAGGACTACTAATTAGTAGAGAGCATGCGGACCCGTGGGTATATTCCTTTGTTTTAAATATCTAATAAAATAAAAATAAATCAGTTTTAGTAAATAACCTAACCTGCTCGAAATCTTAAAGTCTGAAATCTTAGATTGGTCAGGTGTAGCAGCCACATGTCTTTTTTGAATAAACTTTTGATATAATGCATATTTTCCGGGGTGTGTTCCGGTGGGTGTGCTTTTAAATAGCGAATGAAATTGGTTGTAGTCACAACTCCATTAGCAATTAAAACTTGAAAAAACTTACATCGTGTCCACCAAGTTTTTTCTTTTTTGTTTTTCTCTCTAACTCTGTATAACCAAAATTAACTACTCCAGGGTGCGTATTCAGCAAACTTTTTTTTGCGTAAGTTTGGCCTAAGTTTGGCGTAAGTTCAAAACAGTGAAATCCGTATTCACGAAACTTGCGCAGTTGCGTTAAACAAAACTTACGTAAGTTTTTTCGTAACTTCTGTGCTAAAAAATCGGTTTTCACCAAACTTTTTATAAACTTGCTCAGCTCGCTGCAGCGAAACGCTGTAGCAAAAAAAAATTAGTATTTTCGCCAAAAATGTTTAATCTGCGCATGCTTAACGACGAAAAAATTCGCTTCGCGCGAATTTTTCGTCTTGTGGAAAACGGCCTTAACGTCAATAAGAAACTTTTAAACAAATGCCAAAGAGAACAAAATAACCATGAGGACAGTAAACAACAAGTTTGCCATTCTTTGCAGAACTTAAGCAAATTAAACAATACTCTCCTTCTAAACGCTCCAAAACGATTAGAACCACTTATAAACTCATACAAAAGTTCTGTTTTTGGCGGTAAAATAGGAAAACTCTCTACCTATCAAGTAAAATTGAAAATTAATGAAAGTACACTACCAGTCGCAAAGAGAAAGAAGAATTCCTTTTGCACTTAGAGAAAAGATTAAATTTGAACTTGCAAAACTTGAGGCAGAAGGAATAATTGAAACGGTAACAGACAAAGCGACACCCTGGATAAGTACAATGGTAATTGTGCCAAAAAATGACGGCTTAAGAATTTGCGTAGACATGCGAGCAGCTAACAAAGCTATTGGAAGAACGCGTTTTCCAACTCCAACCCTGGGCGATAAAAACTAAAAGACTCCGCCGTTTTCTCGAAACTAGATTTAATGAAGGCATTTCACCAGCTCGAATTTGCACCGGAATCCAGATCAATAACTACTTTTCAATCCGAAACTCAAATTAAACGTTTTAAAAGACTTAATTTTTGAGTAAACTCCGCGCAGGAGAAACTACAAAACGCTTTGCGAGAAGTTTTAAAAGATATAGAAGGTACTTTGAACATTGCCAACGATGTTCTAATTTTCGCTTCGAATACAAGAGCACGATTTAATATTACATAAAGTATTAGAAAGATTTAAACAGAGAGGTTTAACTCTAAATTTTGAAAAATGCTTATTTGGAAAAGAAATAGTCAAATTTTATGGATTTATATTTTCAAAAGAAGGAATGCAACCAGATCCGGAAAAACTTTATAGTATCAAGAACATGCCAACACCAGAAAACACTAAAGCTCTCCAAAGTTTTCTCGGGCTTATGAACTATTTTAAACGTTTCATTCTACACTACAGTACAATTACTTATCCATTGAGAAATCTTCTGCATAAAGATTCCTTATGGAACTGGAACATTGAGTGTCAGCATGTATTTGACAAACTAAAAAACGCTATGACATTGGACTCATGTGTCGGTTACTTCGATCCCAACAAAGAGACTACTGTCTTCACCGATGCAAGTCTTGTAGGCATATCGGCAGTCATTGTTCAAAACACTCCAAATAAACAAGGTTTTAAACTAATATCTTATAATTCGAAAGCGCTATTGCCTATACAACAACGCTACTCTACGCTCGAAAGAAAATGTTTAGCTATAGTATACGTCTGCCAGAATAACAAAACATACCTATTTGGACACCCTTTTAAAATGTACAACGACCATGAAGCTATTGTAAAGATTTTAAACAAGCCAAACGCTACAGTACCACTTCGCAATGAGCGTATGACTTTACGATTACAGGGATATTCTTTTGATCTACACTACGTAAAAGGAAAAAATAATATTCTGATTATTCTAGTCGACACCTTGTAGACCCTTGTGAGGACGAAGGGCTAGAAAAATATGTCAATTTTACAGCTGAATACGCATGTCATAAAGCCCTTTCACTACTGGATATTCAAAGAACAAATAAAGCCGATCCTATTCTACAAATACTTACAGAGTTAATTACTACTAATACCTGGCATAAACTATTACATCCGAATTGTCCGCCAGAACTAAAAAAATTTAAAAAAAAATTACTTGCTTACCGTAATATACGCCAAGAACTTACAGTAAATCAGACTTCAGACCTTATTCTAAAAGCAAATCGAATTGTACTTCCACATTCTCTGGAAATTACGGTTATACAGCTTGCTCATAATAGTCACATGGGACTTGAGAAAACCAAATCATTACTTAGAGAAAAAGTTTACTTTCCTGGTCTAGACACTAAAGTAGAAGAATATATAAAAAGATGTGCAATTTGTCAAGCCCTGGTGCATTTTGGTAAACAAAATGCACCAGCCAAACTATTAATCACACCAACACCAGAGGAAATTTGGGACACCGTTAATATAGATTACCTTGGTCCTTAACCTAATGGATTTTATATGGTAGTTCTTATAGACCAAGCATCAAAATTTTCGGTTGTCGATAATATACATAATACATCTGCTGAGTTCCTTATTGATTTTCTACAGAAAACGATTGCAGTATATGGAATACCGAAAACGATTGTTAGCGATAATGGACCACCTTTTACTTCATTCAAAATAAAGATGTTTTTGAACAAACTGAATATTCAACATAAACGAATCACCCCGCTTTGACCGCAAGCAAACTCACAAGCCGAATCCTTTATGAAACCACTGATTAAAACAATACGAGCAGCACACATTAAACGGAAAGACTGGAAAAAGCAATTATACAGCTTCCTGTTTTTCTACCGCAAAGAATGGTACAATGATCACTGCAAAATCTCCGGTCGACAATTCTCAAAAAACTCGAAATGCTTCACACATGAAGAAAGTATTAACGGATATACAATTTAATCCAATACCAATTAAAGAAGAGAAAGATGAAGAATACCTCCAGAACGAATCAATTTTGCCAGAAAAGGAAATAACCGCTACTATGCCGACACAACTAAGAAGCTATCATCAAGAACCGATTCTGAAGACATATCCTAACAGAGAAAGACGTCCTATAGAATTATGGAGGAAGTATTAAAACATTATAAAACACAAACAGTAAAACATTTCATTTACAGAAGAAGGGGAAGATGTAAGAATGTGCTCCGAGATGGAGATTTTAATTAAAACTATATTTACGTTTTAGTAACTTTATGAAGGCATTATATAGAAAATAAGCGATAAAAAAAGTTGTAGTTTATCATTAAATATGTTTTTTTAATAATTAAATTTGAAGCTAAACCGTTTACTCTTACCCCAGTTTACTCTCTTACCCCAGTTTACTCTAATCCTCGCAGTATGTGAATGCGGAGAAACATCCAATGTAACTCATGCTTTGTTATGTAAAAAAAAATGGTTTCATTTCAAGACACCACAATAATATAAGAAATTTGTTCAGCGCATTGCTTATCAGAGTGTGCATAAATGTTCGATCAGAACCGCATTTTATACCTCTTGATAATAAGAATTTTCATTTCCATTCAGCAAATAAAACCAAAAGCAAAAAGTTTGTTTCGATATTAAAACAAATGATTTTTTGAGAAATGGATAGACTATCTTTTTTGACGTAAGAGTTAGCCATGTCAATTTCATTGCTAAAAAAAATCTGGATACTGCAGCTATAAATACACGAAAATGAAAAAAAAGGGGAATTCGATGAACGAGTTCGTGAAGTTGAACATAGCAGAATGATAACTTTATTATTAAGTACAAACGAAGGAATGGGTACGGAATGTCATAAGTTTGTTAAAAAACTGGTAAATAAACTGAACAACAATAAGAAAAGTACTTAATTGTAATGACGTGGATAAGAACGAAGTTTTTCTTTGAGATACTTGGCTCAACTATTCTTTTCTTAAAGGGGATCCCAAACACCGTAGCCTGAAAAAAATGACTTTAAAATGGGAGTTGATTTCAAGCTGGATGCTATAGAAGCAAGAATCTAAAAAATATTTTTTAGCTTTTTAAAATGTTTTTTTTTTTACATAACATGTTTATTGCATTTAAAAAGAATGTCTTATTTCAATGTATTTCAAAGTTAATTAAAAAAAATTAAAACAGTTTATAAATTTCTTCAGGCAAGTTTCATAGAAACAAATAAATCATCTAAAAATTAACATAAACAAATGTTTATCTATAAAGTACATAAAATATATTCCTCTTTATGTTTTACTCTTTAAAAAAGTTCTTTAAAATTGTCTTTATGGTTCATTTAAAGTTAATAATTTCAATAGTTGAGTTGCCTTTATTGATAAAAGAA